CTGGTTCCTTCGCACGCTCTCGGAGGAGACGAGGATATGAGAGACACCGAACAAGAACAGCCACAGAACAATGAGGGGGTTATGGAGGAAGGAGACGCCGAACGAGGAAGGGCTGAAGAAGTACTAGACAGCCAAGAACATTTAGAAGGAGGGGGAAAGGAAACCGGAAATTTTGCTGAACACGAGGCAACCGAAGGGGAAGGAGAAGACGAAAGCGACAACAGCGAGGATGAGAACGGCTATGACAACGACGACGACGACAACAACGCAGACACACAACAGAACCACCAGCACGAGGAGTAGCCCGCTACCAACCCGAAAAACGTTCCGCGCATAACACTCATACGTGGAACGGAAGCCCCAGCGACAAAAGGGCTCAGGGGACGGATTGTATCACGGCCCACGCTCTTGAAAAAGAAGTACATCAGCGCGGATATGGCCCGGCAAATCATCCCTTCCGAGACCACGAACCCTTCTAGTGATGCTCCGGCAGAACAAGAGATCCTCGTTCGAACATCCCCCCGACACTCTCCCCCGAGCAGCCCGCCGCAGGAAGCTCGGCGACGGGACCAATCACCACAAAAACGACGAATGACGACTCGGTCTACACATGAATAACCAAAGACGAACCAATCCCCACCCAGTGACCATCAAAATTTTTCAGGCAAACGTGGACAAGGGAAAGGAAGCCCACAGCGCCGCCCTCCAGCTTGCGTTTCTGGAGGGCTATAACGTGGTAATCATACAAGAACCAAACACGTCCTACAACAAGCAGAAAAAGCTCTGCCGTACTCAGTATCACCCTGGCTTTCTTTGCTTTAGTCCGGTCGACTCTTGGCACAACAACGACACACGCCCACGCGTGATGACATACGTCAAAATCGATCGCAAGATCCAAGCTGAACAGATCACACCAGCAAAACACCGGGACCTTCTGTGGGTTAGAGTGAACGGAATCACTATCCTCAACCTCTACAACAGGCCGGAGGTGGAGAGCACACTGCAAGTCCTAGAAGAATGGACTCCACCAGAGAACTGCGTAGTCGCCGGCGATGTGAACGCCTTCCACACCACCTGGCAGGCAGACCGACCAGCCACGCAAGATGGGAACCGCATCCACGAATGGACGGATAGACACGACCTGCATCTGTTGAATGAGCCTGACGAGGCAACAACCATGGCCAAGCGTAAGTCAAGAAGCAGCACAATCGACCTGGTCTTCTCAAACATGCCTGAGGCGTCCGCCACGGTGGAAGTCCACCTCACGACAGGATCCCTCCACTACACCATTGGAATCGAGATCCCAAACCGGGAACCAGCCCAGACCACACCAGGAAAAGTCAGAGTAACCACGCCAGACGAGATCAAGGCTTTTGGAGACCATGTAGGCAAGGCGGTGAAGTCACTACCTACCGACATAAACTCGGAAGCTCAGATCGAGGACATGGCCAGACGGCTCCAAGAGATCCTCCAGAACTCTGCCAGGGCATGTGGTAGGGTAAGCCGCGGTCGCCGCGCACGAAGCTGTCCATGGTGGAACCAAGAGTGCAAGGACGCACACGACGACCTTCGTATTACACGACGCATCTACGAGAACCAAAGAGGAGAGGAAGTGCAACGGGCCAGGGTCAGGTTCTGCCGCGTCCTAAGACGCACAAGGCAGAAATTCTGGCGCAATACTATCAACGAAGTAACTACGGCGGAAGGCGTATACAAACTCACCAGATGGATGAAACCGAGACAACGACTTCAACCCCCGCCGATCCAAGTGGGCGACATGACTTACTCTACCGACGCGGAGAAGGCCATGGCGCTACGGAAAGAGAAACTGGAACGCCGCGACGCGTCAGACGACATCGCCGATGGATGGCAACCAGCTGCCAGCCCTACCAAGGAGATCCCATTTGCGAGAACGATCCCGATCAAAGAGGTCGAGAAGGCTGTCCTACACACCGGAAACACAACACCCGGCTCGGACGGAATCACAACCAGGATGCTACAGGCAGCCTGGCCACATATCGGCCGACCAGTCACGACACTGTACAATGCCTGCCTACGGCTCGGTCATCACCCTAGCGTCTTCAAGACTGCGGAGGTTGTCATGATCCCGAAGCTCAACAAGCGGAACCTCAGTGAGGTGTCCACATGGCGACCGATATCACTCCTCTCCTGCCTTAGCAAAGGATTAGAACGGGTGATTGCAAGGAGAATGGCATACGCCGCCATCAAATATGGCATCCTTCACCCAAACCAGGCTGGAGCGCTGCCGAAGCGGTCCGCCATAGACATTGTGGTTTCCCTGATCTATGATATAGAGAAAGCACTGGCAGCCGGCCAGGTGGCAACTCTAGTCACGGAAGATGTCATGGGCGCTTTCGATGCAATCCTCCGCAACCGCATGATTCTTCGCCTACGACAACAGGGATGGCCGGACTTCCTGATCCGCTGGATAGCGAGTTTCTTGCTAGACAGACTAGCCAGTGTGCGATATCAAGACACGACCACACCCAGCGCGAGACTACGGTGCGGCCTTCCTCAAGGCTCCCCCATCTCCCCGATACTCTATATTTTGATCACAGCGGCAATCTATTACCTCTCGGGCGCGGCCCAGAGATACGGATATGCAGACGACACGGCGATGCTCTTCATCGGAGACTCGTTGGAGGACACAGCGAGGCAAGCAAACGAAGCAATCGCGGCCATGGAATCCTGGGGAAGAGGCGAGGCAATTCACTTTGACCCGAAAAAGACAGAAGTCATGCACTTCTCTAGACGCAAAGCAGACCACAACCAATCTCCCGTTATCTACCACGGCGACAAGGAGATACGGGCAGCGGCATCCATGCGGTGGCTCGGCATCTGGCTTGACAAGAAACTCACTTTCAACCACCACGTTGATGAGTGGACGCAGAAGGCTCGCAGGGTGATAAACCACCTCCGAGTTATGAATAATACGGTGCGAGGCATGTCAGCAGCAGCGGCCCGTCGAGCAGCATGGGCTGTGGCTATGCCAACTCTATTCCATGGATTAGATGCTTGGCTGCCTGGCGTGGATACAGGCAACTCACGCTTTAAAAGAAACCACATCTCGAAGACAAACCTCAGCAAAATACAACGCGTACTAAATCTCGCCTGTAAGATGATCCTACCTATGTGGAAGACGACACCGCTAGAATTTCTCTGGAAAGAAGCGGGCATCCCGCCCGCGAACGTCCTACTTCGACATATCCAGGAACGCGTAGCGGTCCGCTACGCTACACTGGATAAAGCACACCCAATCAGCAAACGGCTGCGGCAGTCGCAGAGAGAAATCGAGCTGAATGAGAAACCACTCATCGCGGAACGAATGGCGCTGCGGCATTCGAGGCTCCTACGGACTTCATCCCGCACTCCTAAGATCGAGCGACCAAGACTCATCCCACAGAGATTCTCTGACAACGTACAAGTAGAAGGGCCAGGAGAAAGGCTCACCAAAGAGAAGGCCGTAACAGAATTCGAGCAGTGGCTCGCCTGTCGACCCGCGGGCTATATAGTCTTCAGCGACGGCTCCAAAACAGACACTGACACGGCCGGATACGGCTTCGCCGTATTCTACCATGGACAACTTCTGGATTGGGGTTCCGGACAGCTGGGACGACGAGAAGTATTCGACGCCGAAGTACACGGCGCGCTTGCTGGACTGAAAGCGGCCATGCAACAGAACAGCCGCCTCGAGCCGATCACAGTCTGCATGGACAACACGTCCGTGATCGACTGCATCGGAGCGACAGCGGCAGACTCTTCGCAAGCCTACTTCCGAGAATTCCAAAAGATCGGGGACAAACACCCATATCTGATCTCAGTCAAATGGTCACCCGGACACACCGGCATATTT